CTCCACCCTGCACCTCTGTGAGACTTTAGCTGTGCAATATGTGAAGTGACAGGGGGATACTTTATGAATGAAGTGTGAGGAGGCCTTGGCAGTGCCCCTGCATTCCCCACAATAAGATGAGCTGAATGCTGAATAAATCTGCAACACGCCACGGGCTCTGCAACACCTACACACACACACACATACACAAACACACACACGTACACATGCACACATAAAAAAACAAGTCAGGGACCTGGTCAAACACTGGGGGAGGAAAACGGCATCATAAAACTCTTTATCACTTTAGAGCTCTCCACATTTCAGCCTACATCCCTGCCTCTCTTTTTCTTCTCTCTTTCTTCCTCTCTCTCTCTCTCTCTCTCTGTCCTTGAGGTGGCAGAGTGGGTGGTGTTAGCAGGTGGAGCGAGGGGTGGGTGTGGTGGTTGGTTGAAGAAGTGCAGATCTTTGATGCTTGTTGGGGCTCACTCCGCTGGGCAGTACGCTGTGCTGCATTTCGCCCCAAGGCTCTGTATAAATTCAGCGGCGGTGACAATTTACAGCTCGAGCCCATCCCCGATATGACGCACTGAGCAGGGCGCCAAGCGTGTCTTGTTGCCGTCTCACTAAAGTGAGGCTAATTTATTACAGTGTAAAACCCACAGAGCAGAGAGAGGCGAGAGAGATATACAGAGGCCTTGGTTTGAGAGTTGTTGTATAATGTGGTATAAAGCTGTGGCCAGTGTAACATTGTTTTGTTTTTTTATTGTATTACTTTGCAGTATGATGCGGGGTTGCAGTTTATACTGTAGCATATTTTCTCTCTTCATCATGTGCCAAAGAGTTTAGATACCCATATTTCATCTGCTCCATTATAAAACCTCAGGTGTTATTTGCTGTCCAATAAGATAACTGCAGTCATAAATTTTAGTGCCAGTCCTAAAATCGTCCCTCAGCCTTACATGTAAGAAAGTTTGGACAGAGATGAGATTAAAGAGTAAGCGAAATCTGCTTCTGCTCAAATCAAATTTATTATTAAAGTTGGTAAATGTATTTAAATATATTCCACGAGGTTTCAAGCCTATCCTGACAGGGCTTCCTTTGTACCCGCTGAAGAAGAATGATGAGGATGAGTTTTGTTAATTACATCATGTCACAACTTATATGAGACTGAACCCAAAGTTCCCAAGACTCGCCACAGAAAGAGCTGACCAGCACAATCAAGCCTGACCTTCAGAATGCATTAGATTTATGTTGTTTTTCACAGGCACTTTTCTTCCCTCCTGTAATTTACATATTTATCAGAGCTGATCGTAGTCGGACATCTTTTAATTCTTTATTTCCTCCTGACAAGCTGCAAGAGAATGAGCCGTACAGTGCAGCGCGTGACTTTGGCAGGTGAGAAATATGCTGAGGGGAGCACTTTGATTTGGAAGTGTGGGCATAAATTTTGCCTCTGCCACTTTCACTCACTCATTGTCACGTTCCTCTGCACCCCGAGCAGCCTCCACCCTCCTGCTGTAGCGTACACCTCCACTCTCTTACACACATTTCCTCTCTCCCTAATTCCTAGGTATATTTTTTTTCAGTCGTGTTCGGCGACGGGCCCAGAGAGGCCTGTGATGAAGTGAAGTTAAAGAGCTTCATAAATGAGAGACATGACCTCTCAGAAGTACTTTCACAGCAGCGAGGCTTCAGTGAAGAATTAAAGTCATAAATACATTTAGATGCCAGGCATGTGACTACTTTAAAAGTACAACTGATCTGGGGTTTGGGCTGTGTTCATCAAATTAGGGATTTAGAAATGTTACTGAAATGTTAAAATGTATTTATACAGCACCTTTCAAACTAATCAAATGCAATTCAAAGTGCTGAACACATGAATGACAAAATGATAAAAGTAAATTAAAATCGAGTTAAAAAACCTATAGATTTAGAGACTTATATACACCAAAGCATAACAGAAAAGAGAATAATAAAAGATAGAGGGTTTAAAAAAATAGAGATAATACAACTATAGAATTATAAAACTAGACATAAAAGCCAGAATAAATAGATGGGTTTTTAATTTATGTTTGAAAATATCAATATTTTCATCTCATCCCACATCCTTTGGAAGGCTTCTGCAGCGACTCGGAGTGTAATGGCTGAAAGCAGCATCACCAACTGTTTTGGTTCTGCTTCATGGAACAGCTTAAGGAGAAAATCCAGAGGATCTGAGGGGGCCTCCTGGTTCATAAACCTTAATCATTTCTGATAAGTAGTCTGGGGCAAGTCCGTGTCATGCTGATTTTAAAATAGGTGTGACGTGTGTTATGTTATGTGTGGTCTTAGTCAGCAGTCGTGTAGCAGGGTTTTGAATTAACTGTATAGCTGATTAAGTGTGTTCTTTGGTCTACCACAGAAGAAAAGTGTACCTGCTAGTAAAAGCATGTTTTAGTCTCAGCGTTGCTCAGAGAGAGTTAGTGTTTTTCTGTGATTTCATACACTAAATCATTAATCTACTAATCAAGAATACAATCAGCAGATAATCATTCTTTTAAGTAATTGTTAGTTGTAGGTTCTAATGTACACACATGTGCATTGCAAACCCAGTATTCAACACACTGAAAATGAAAAAGTAGCTCATCTTATTAATCAAGATAATCAAACAAAGTGGATTAATTGAGTACAAATGTTTTTCTTCTCATGTATGCACTGTCGGTAAAGCTGATTTGACATTCAGCTCAACATTCTTCATGGAGGCCATTTGTGTTTGAGACACTGCTGTTGTTCTTCCCTTCTACTACAATTTCTAAAAAAAACTGTCTGCAAATAAAAGAAAAAAGTTTTTCCAGGAAAGAGAGCTAGATCATTTGTGCTGCATTAGAAAGCTATCTTTCAGTGTAATCCCTTAGCCTCTCTTTCTTTTTTACTGGTCTTTGGTTCAACTTTCCACTGCCCTCCTATCACAGCCGCCCCGCCTGCTGATCTCTACTGACACCCTGAGGTCAAGAGATGCCTCTGCAACCAAAAGCGGCATCTCTCGACCTCAACCTTGACCCCTCCCCGACCCCCNCCCCCCCGGATTTGGTGTGTTTCTCCTCCAGGTTCCCGCTGGATGTTGCAATGCCTATGGAATAGCAGGACTTAATTTTGTGCTACAATGCTTGGCTGGGCACAGTCTGATACAGAGGAATGCAAAGATACAGACACATAAACACAACAACTACTTGGGGAGCATTTGTAAGAGCCCTGAGGAGACTGTCACGCACATAAACACACACAAACACACACACAGAGCAGAACGATGTGGGATAAACAGTGGATCCACTGTAAGCTCCAGGAGCTGCTGGAAGATGAAGCAGCAAGGGCACACTGGCACTGAGACTAAATGTAGCATGGCCACAATGGTTGAATTCCCCAACAGTCGGGACCTTGGCAGCTGCCTCTGGTTTGGCTCACAACTTTCTGGGTTCTTGGTTTTACTGTAGGGAGATTGGCTGTGTGTGTGTACGTGCACGTACGTGCCTATACTTTTTTTCGTTTCCTAATTGCAGCTTCGAACAATACAATGGGTTTGTACTTGACTGTGTGTTATGTCTGCGCTCTTGTATTAGGAGCCAGTGTGGTGGCCTGGGGTCGAGGCCAGAGCACAATTTCTTAGTGATGGAATTTCACAGCCACCAAGAACCCAGCGGCCGGCCAAACCGCAAGCACTCACATTTACAACAAACGGCCCGCCCCACTCCGCAGAGACTCCTGAATGGCAAAGCCATTTGTCTCTGTGAAGGGCAGAAGGAGAGAAAAGCGAAATAAAATCAGAGGGAGAGTACTTTAATGGAACAACGCTTTTTTTGTTTATGACTCCTAACCACTCAAACAGACACACACACACACACACACACACACACACACACACACAGATGCACACACATACCACTCTGAGGCCCAATTGGAATTAAGGAGAAGGAAAGGTGCGTAGCCTGTTGCTAATTAGCATTTTCTCTGCTCAGCAGAGGAAGGTAGAAGAATCAATAAGATATTAAGTTTGTGTATAGCAATGAGGCACACAATCACTTTCATCCATTAGCAACAGCAGATTAGAGGAGAAACACTGGCCAAGAAAACAGCACATTTTTGACCTCTGTTTTTTTTTACTGTGCTGGAAAGGCAGAATGCAGCGCATGTGTTTTTCTGTAATTTAGCCTTTTCATTGTAGAGTCCTCAAGGAATGCAACAATCCTCAACATGTGAGGTTAATAAAACCTCTTACAAGTGAAGGTTAATTTGACTTTTAGAATTAAGCATTTTCTGTCTTTTTGATCTCGGCTTCAAATACACCAAAGACCATCTCTGGAATTTTCTCAAACATTTCACAGCATTTATCAGTAATGAAGTAAACACTTGAGGTCATTCTTCTGTAATAGAATGCTTCAGATGTAGTCATTTATATCACAAGAATGCAGAAATAATATCTAATCTCTAATTTGTTTTGAGGACAGAAGGGTCTCTGTCTTAAAAAATGTCTCCACATCCACATTCTCAGATTTGATTAAGTTTGTTGCAAGGTTTTTATTAACCCTCATTTATGCAAAAATATCCAACAGTAAAAAGATTGGAAATGCTCAAGAAAAGTGTCCAAGGTCTGATTCATCAGTCCAATATTCCCTTTAAAGCAGCGTCTAGCCAGAGAGACGTCTTCAGCCAGACCTGAAGACCCTCACTCAAAGAAGAGACCTCTGTCAGTTCGCACCTGTTGCTGCCTGTTCCTAAGCTCCACAGATTTATAATTTACCTTGCCTGTTAAATATTCTGTGCCATGTGTTGGTTTGATGTTTGATTCTTGTGTGTCTGGCTGAATATGGACAGACCTCAAGTCTCGCACTAAATTGTAATATGCAACTTATATTTTTATCTGTTGTTTAAATCTTATTCTGTTACCAACTTAAGTAATAATGATTTATTTATCGAATTTCATGTCTACTTCTGTGCATTAACAACATCACATCTTTCTCCCTCTACCTTCTTTACAACCTCAGCCCCAGACCACCTGAGTCCCGAGAGGGAGAAGAAGCTGGTCTTTCTTACGTCCCGTGTTCACCCTGGAGAGTCTCCTGCCTCCTTCATCTGTCAAGGTAAAGTTTTAATGTTGTGTGACCGCTCTGTTTGATTGGATTAATTAAGATGCTGCACGTCTGCTCTGTATATTGTTTGGTGGTTAATAACCACATGCTAGAGTTAACAATAAATTATGTTTTGAATTTGTAGTCTTATTTCATATGGGACAACATGACACACACTATGATACCCAATGGAACTAAAGACATGTCAGCAGTTGGTATTTACTTTGAAAAGAATGAAAAATGTTACCACATGCACCATGATACAATTGTCTTCACAGGCAGGGGTGTTTCAAGGAACTTAAGGGGCCCCAGTCGAAAGGGACCTAGGGGGGCAAAACCAAACCAAAAATCAATCCGCATTATTCCGTTTCCATTCCAATCTTCAAACAATTGTCTTAGTATTAAAATCAGGAACAAAGTGTGTAGTGTGCATAGACATAAGCAGTAAAGTGCAAACCTCCACCATCATCCCAGACACACATAAGACACACATTTATTCATTTTAGTCTTCAACCATCATCTCAAATATGAAGCTTTTAGGAGAAAGCTAGTGGCATTGGGCCTCATTACTGTTTTTTTCGAGCAGGGTGTCATTGCATAGTTGATCATGGAATTTAAATGGTTCTCACAGAAGTGTTGTTTCTTTGAACTAAGGTAATCAGCCGTTGGGCCCCCTCTCAGCAAATGTCTGCTTTTCCCACCCTGTTACAACGGCCCTGTTCACAGAATTAACCCCGCCCCCCCAAGATTAGAATGGTGCCGATCTTCTTTTGAATCATACCACATACATTATAAACTCATCTATGAGTTACATTCTTAAGACAGATGCTCTGCACCTGAACCCAGGTCTATGAAAGTGACAGGAATAGATACAAGAACCAGTGCTTCAGTATAATATCTCAGGAAAAACAGTGTGAGTTTGAGGATAGCTTAGAAGTTGCCTTGTCTTGAAATGCAGTGGAACCTATGGGAAATTGTCTCCTTTTGCAGTACAACAACCTAAAAGACAAATTTAGCAGGATCTAACAACTCTCTTGCTCCCAGTCCTCCTGCTCAGACTGAGGTGAGCAGGCAGGTTCACTCCTTCTGGGTCACACTTCCTTGTTTATATAGGGGGCAGGTCTGAGGAGGGGAGGGATGGCGTGATAGAGAGACTGAGGGCACTGCCTTATCTTTCACAGTGGTCCCTGTCCAGCACTTCAGCTCAGTGAGACAGACTCAGGAAAGTCCATTAATGCTAACAAGGTGCACAGATGGCGTTTTCTTTCTTTCTATCTATCTATCTATCTATCTATCTATCTATCTATCTATCTATCTATCTATCTGTCTATCTATCTATCATTCCGTCTGTCCATCTTTCCATAATTTCTTGCTGTGTGGGTGTGTGTGTTTCAGTATGTGTGTGCATTATCATGAATCAGATGAGTTGGCTTCTCGCCCGCTGTGTGCTGTCTGTTTTCCAACGCCGTCAGCTCCATTCCATTTGTATCGATTTAGGCTTGACGTCTCCTATTCCTCCCCTGATTCTGATGATGCCCCTCGCTGTCCTTCCTTCTCCTTTTGTTTCTCAAAACTCAATTAACTGCCCGCCTGTCTTCGGTTTTCTATTTAAGTCTTTTTTTGTGTTTGTGTGTGTGTTTGTTTTTGTGTACGTGTGTGTGTTTAGGTGTGATTGACTTCCTGGTAAGCCAACATCCTGTGGCTCAGATCCTGAGAGATCATGTGATCTTCAAGATCGTCCCCATGCTAAACCCTGATGGGGTCTACCTGGGCAACTACAGGTACACACACACACACACACACACACACACACACACACACACACACACACACACAAGCACACATGTTTTAATTCTTAATTTGAATGTGTCACCGCATTAGACAGAATTAACACATTACATGGTTATCCTGCTATGTGGGTTTATATCCTCTTAACTCCACCTTTAGGGAGCTTAATGAATTCATATAGCTCACAGCAGTGCATTTGTTAGAAGATAGTATTTGGCCATGGGGCTGTTCTCTCTGCCAGCCTCTGTCCATCTTCTCCTCCTCTCTGGCTTTAACACTATTGGTGCAGCTCTGTGGGCATCCTCCTCTCCTCTGTTTTCCTCTCTTGTCTTTCCCTTATTCATTGCCTTTTACTTAATGGGCTCAGCCCCAGGAATACTAATGCACATTGAGATAAGCATCAACAGCGTGCCTCTGGTGTGTTTGTGAGTGCCATCTAGTGGTCAAGCCTCCCTACTGCTAGTTAAAATACTAGTAGAGAATCTTAGTTGCTCATCCATCCATCCATCCATGAGCTCAACCACATATCCTTTGAGGGTCGCAGGTGGGGGGGGGTTTGCAGGCAATCGCAGCTGAAATTGGGCAAGAGGCAGGATACACCCTCAACAGGTTGCCAGTCTATCAAATATAGAGTCAACCAGCCTTTCACCCTCACATTCACACTTTAAGTTAGAGTTGCCATTTGACCTAACCTGCATGTCTTTGGACTGTGGGCACAGAGAAGACATGCAAACACCACACAGAAAGACAGATCGGCTAACGAATGTAGCTCTCCATCTCCATGACTTTGATTGATGATTCTAAAAGACTATTTGTATGAGCTTGTATTCACACTGAGTGGTAATGATCAGCATATTGACAGAAGGTGAAAAGTGATGGTCCTCACCACACCATACACACATGCTCATTGCATGTTCTCCTTCTGTCCCTCACACAGACACACACACCGCACATTCATCTCAGCAGTATACAGTGCAGAGCAGACAGGACACATGCAGAGCAAGGAATCAATGTCTTTTAACCTGGGAGATGTATTTTGTTCATGGCTGGCTGCCCTGTATCACTGCTCCAAAGTATATCCTGTATAATCAATAAAGGATTTAGTAAATAGGTATGTTCACATGGAGCCTAATATTCTGAGTCTAATCAGAGCCTAAACAGAAAAAAGCTCCATATAAACACCTTAGTCACAAACTGCTAAAAAAAACTTCTAACAGCTGCAGTGGGGCAGGTAACAGAGTCCATGTTGCTGCAACTTTACACTGGAACTCCCATCTCAAAATGACACCGATTTATGAATCCAGTCTCGTATATGTCTAAATGGGTAATATATAGGGCAGTATGACAATGTAGCACCATTGCCCCACAGCAAGAGGAATCATGGTCCTAACTCTGTGGGGTTTTCTCAAGGTTCCTTGAAAAAACGTGCAATCTAGTTGAAGAATGGATGTAGAGAGTAGAGAAGGGCTGAATGAAGGAGTGATTGTTGACACAGGTACATTTACAATCATAATTATTCTCTAGCAGTTTCCTTCTTCCTTACCTGTGTTGGCACGTTGCTGCATTTATTGACTTATTACCAGTTCTGTCCATCAATCAGTGAAATAGCGTGAAACTAATGGCAGGACCTGCACAAGACACAAACTAAATGGTAACCAAATCTTAAACACATAGATCCATAGCACTAGAAGTGGTCAAAAACTCCACAGGGTACCATTAATCATCTGCAATATGTTTTATGAGGCAAACACAGTTATACTTTATTCTGAATTTGTGTGTGTGTGTGTGTGTGTGTGTGTGTGTGTGTGTGTGTGTGTGTACAGGTGTTCTTTGATGGGCTTCGACTTGAATCGCCACTGGCAGGATCCCTCTCCATGGGCCCACCCCACGCTGCACGCTGTCAAGCAACTCATAGTGCAGATGAACCAAGACCCTGTGAGCAGGCACACACACACACACACACACACACACACACACACACACACACACACATGTTCTCCATTCTGTTGTCAACATTCCTTCACAGTAATATCTACTGGTCCCACGAACAGTTTTCTTTCTCCCTGCTTGGTTCAGCATGTTTCTCCAATCTGTGTCTGGGGTTTGTGCACTGGGGGGCATGGATGGCCTAGTCAGCACACCTAGAATGTCAGATGGCCTCACCTGGCCATTGAAAACATATAACTGAAGCAAGTCTCCATGCTTACAGTCTGTAACTGTACTGTAACTTTTTCCTCCTCCGGTCTCCCAGTCAGAGCAGCTCTACGCAGGCAGGCCAGGGATTTCTCTTTTTGTTCCTGATGTTAATTATAAGCAGAACGGCAGGTTAGTGGGATTATTGAAGGTCAGTGTGTGTCCTGGGAATACTCTGCCCTTTTGTACATTCCTCTAATCCTGATAAGAGAGGGAGTGGGCTGGGGTGGGATGCGGGGCAGGCCAGAGATGGGGTGAGGCGCAGGGCTGGCGTCGGGCAGATTAACCTTTTCCCCTGGTGCTGACACACTGATCGATAGACTCTGTCATGGCAGGGTGATCCAGTCATGCCTGTCATTCACACAAACGCACACACATGCATACACACGCAAAAACACACATAGTCAGCCTGAGCAAACAGACAACACATACTAACACAAACTACAGTATTGTAGCATTACACTGAGAAACAGGTCTTATCAAATGCATTAATCTGTGGTTCTCCTGCCATCATGTGTGTGTTCCTCTCTCTCAGATGATTCTTTTACAAATGAATTGTAACTGTTACACCTTTAGTAATGGTTTCAAACTTGAGCCGTCCTGAAGGTTTCTTGTGATTAATTAATTACTGCAGCACTAAATGTTGTTTATTCTGATATTTTCTTCAACTTCAACTTTTTTTTCCTCTTTAGACCTTTATTACTGAAATTATTTAACTGAAACAAGTGACAGAAGTCACAATTCAAAAGAAGGTACTGAAAAGTAAACATTGCTTCGTGTTAAGAGGTCAAATGCAAAAAAAGATTAGTTTCACACAAATTTAAAAATATATTCAAGCCTCGTCTACAAAACTATGGATATTTCCCCCTCCGCTTTTAAAGAAAATCTCTGTCCAGATGAAAACACAAGAATGAGTAGCAACGCTCAAACAGTCATGATAAAGTCTACATCAGCAAATATCAGAGAAGAACATTATGAGCAAGCTCAGTGAGCTTATTCTCCTTTGGCAGTTGTAACTTCAAAACCAAAGCAATAGTACATGATAAATTATTTATTTGTATATTTGATAGTTATTTGACATCTGTTTCTTTACATCATCCACAAACCTTTCTGGCACATGGTCCAAAGTGCTATGAAATACACAAGGCCTTGAAAGTTTTTGAAAATCTGCAGTTTGGAGGCCGTTATTGTGCAAAATAGGGCATCAGTGACATATATGCTGAGTTTAGGCCAGACCTTTACCCTACACTGCTGAAGCCCATTAAAGAACTAAATCACCTGCCACCTGACTCCACAGTTCAATAGATAGATATGTACTGTACTTAGATGTATCCTCTGGACTCTTACCTCTCTGGTGGGTAACAACATTGTGCCATATGTTTCCTGAGTCTACTTGTGGCGGTCAGACACCTTCCATTCCCTCTCCCTCCTGGTTGATAACCATTTCACCAGCACTTGTCCTCCTGTTGCCCCCCCCGATGATTGCTTTCCGTCTTGCAGAGTTAATTTGGAGACTCGGGCAACCTCTCCCTTTCTGTCTGCTTCTCACCACAGCCAGCTAATCCCATCAGACACACTACTCATGTCTGAGGCTCCCAGATGCCAGTTTCAATGCCAACCCTGCAGCCAGGAAGCCCTATGCTGCTGCCCTCCATTCACGCTCATCTCTCACAGCGGGCACAGAGTCTAATGAGGCTACCAGGGTTGGAGGGCTCTGCTGGAGGACTCCATTAACAAGAGATCAGCAGCAGCCACAGCAGAGTACTCGGGCTAAGCTAGCATATGTGGCGCATTTACTAGCTGCTAACTCTGTGTGGTCATTTGTTTAAAAACCAAGAGACTGAAGGGGAGCTATATGGGAGGTGATTTTCAAGTGTATGGTTATTTTTCATACTGTCTACTCTAAAATTGTGCCCCACAAAACCAGTTAACTGGTGGAGGTCTGTAGCTCAGGGGGCCTGTGGAAGAATTAATCAGCAATATGTGCAAGCCCCTGCTCTTATATTTAATCATTTTGCACAAAGAGCCAATTCAAAATAGTAATTGCACCTTTAGTGTAGCAAAGAACAGTCTAAAATGGGTTGTTTGGAGTTTCAGCTTGACCCTTTAAGTATAGTGTGGTAGTAGACATTAGAATCTCATTATGTTTTAATGCATACAGTTCATATTATACCTGTTGAATCTGCACCAAATTGCACACACTCATACAGTCTCTTAAACATCTCTGAATATTTTCATCAAGATCCATGAATTATTCTCTGAGAAATCAATGACAATGTTAGAAAATACTCATACTGTTAACGGAAGTGAAAAACAGGTCCCTGGTCAGGATCCACACTAAAATTAACCACATCTCTCACCAACTTTCAAACTAAGTTGTTCAGTAGCTTTTGTGTAATCCTGCTAACCTGGAGGTAACAATCAATTTTACTTAATCAGCTCCAACCTTTGACTTTAGAACATAACAGTAACAGTAAGTGTAGCTTTCTCTAGAAAAAACCTCTTTTTTCACTCGATCATACATGGCTAACAAACTGTATGATCCTCCAGTCTACATGCCTATGAGTCCTTGGGCAAGACACTGAACCCTAAATAGTCTCTGATGGCTGTGGTGGAAGTATATGAATGATATGTTAAGTGCTGTGTTTAGGAGTTTTGTATGAATCTAATAATTTACCTAACCATATCCAGTCTCTGCAATCATTGACATTAATATTGTATATATTAACATTAAAATTAAAAAAAAATTAACTCTCAGAGCTAAAACAGTTTGTGTTTTTAATGGTTCCGTACCTCTATTTAGGTATCATCACTCATTGCAACATATGTCCAGATAAACTTCTAATGCCCATTCATTGCATTGTCCACACTTGCTTCTGTCAGTTTCCATATAAATCATGAGCTTTAACTAAGTTATAGATGCAGTGTAGGAATTTTGTGCACCTCCATGTATACAAATCTGACCCTGGGTATTTGTCAGTCACCATGACTTCTTTAGATATCACCACTTCTATGCATAAGGCATCATAATTCCCATAATTGCCCTCCGTTTCACAAAGGAGCCCATTCGGTTTGAAACCCCATCAACCATTCTTGTGACAGACACCCCCATCACTCCAAAGCAATTCTCCATCATTGTGAATTCAGCGGCGCTCTCTTTCTGCTGGGAAAATAGCTTCCTTCTTCTGTTCAAGCAATAACTTCAATAACTGGCTGCAAGTTCTCAGACAAATGGCATTTAAATCAAAGCGTGTAGCAGCAATCTACACTGCGTTGGTATTGATGGTTGGAAATGTTGATTTGAAAAAGATTTGTACATAAATCCAGAACATTTACACTCAAAATTATCTTTTAAAATCCGTAACTTAAAGTCCAATCAGCAGTTCTATTTCTATTTGAATACAGACTGTGTACACAGAGTTGACAATGGAAGTAATTTTTCCATTGAAATTAAGATATTATTAAAGGAAATGCTTGTGTTATTACTATAAGTAATTCTAAGTCAACAATAAATGTATTTTTTGATCACCACAACAAACTGAACCATCTCCACCATTGTAATTTCACTTTCAGAGAGTAGCTCTTTGTCAAGACATCATGTTCACGCACAAGCAGCCATGTTTACACCGCTTTGTTGTTTGATAAGTTGAGAGACTCCCCCTGCTGTGTTGATCATAAAGACAGAATGTCAAACAATGCAACAGTATGGCTCTTTCATTTGTTTTTAAAAGTCTTTCAGTAACAGTTATTTGACACTGTAGAGTAAACTATATCAGGCTGTCAACAGCATCAGAAAATACTTGTTCATATGATAAGTTAAGGGGAGTTTTGACAGAGTAAATCCTGGGGTGAAATTCATGTAGTTAAAAGAAAGAGGACAATGATGCCAATGTTGCACTGTGTCTAAAGGTCATGTAGGACAATGGTGTTCCACCATGTGAACCACAGAAAGAAATTATCAGTTTGGCCTAAAATGAGATCTTTATGTAATTCTGCACTATAGGTCATAAATCCTGCCTCCCCCATGTTAGCAGATGGGACATGGACCTAACAGAAATGTCAATATACACGTCCAATATTTCTGTCATTTTATGTAGTTCTTATCACATTGATATATGTTTAAGTCTTTATCCTGATAGGTTTGGTTTTAATTTGTTATTTTATGCTATGGAAATCGGGTGAAATGTCCTGATTGATAGCTGAGGCTGACCCATAATTGGTCGAGTGTGTGTATTAGAAGGACCTCGCCCAATCGCTGCGTTCATATCCACAATATTCTGGCATTGTTTCTGGAAAGAAGGAGGAAGTGGAGACACGTTGTCCATTTTTCTATAAAGTCTATGTTCCATCCATCTGACTGTATATTGTTTTTCTATATTGTTGAGGAAGTACAATGTTGACCTTGAAGTGTTTTTGTATGAGGGGCTATTGCAATTTGCAGCACGGACATGCTAGGATTTGTTGTCTTTGTGTAACATTGTATTTACTGTGCTGCGATCAGAGGGCAGTGAGGGATTATGAATCTGAGAACACAGTTTAGAATCCATGTGCACAGATCTATAAAACCATGGTCTACACGTTTCCCCCCCAGGCCCTTGGGAGGCTTTATACCTCCGTACCTCTTGAACGGGTAGTTTGTGTGAAGTTGTTTGGATGCTGCCGCTCTAAACTGGATTAACGCAGGCCAAGCTGTCAACCTGTACCGACAGGCACATTTTGAACGAGCACTTCAATGGTAAATACAACGTGACATGTAAAACACAGGTGTGATCAAGTACAGCCATTGTGTGAACAACAACAACAACAGCATTTGCTTATAGCTGGCGGTAACCTTCCTCTCCATCCATCTGAAGGTGAGTCTGCTCAAGCTGTTTCATAAAATTCCATCATTTACCATCTGTGGCTGAACATTGGTCAGCAGGGAAAATGGCTGAAAGAGTCAGTGATGCAAGGAGCTATAATCTGTTCCCAAGCTACCCTGTTGTTTGTTTTGAAAAGAGAAATGGAGAGGGAGGAAAAAAAAGGAAAAGAGACCAAAGAAACAAATGGACCCATCTCCTTCCTAAAGCGTTGCTTTTCCAGCTCATTTATCAAAAGCAGAAGAAGAATTCTTTTTGATTGGCTGATTACCAGAAGCATTCATCACTGGCCGGCGTATCCCCACCAATTTGACACTGCCATTTTGGATAATTTGTTAAGAATGACAAAGAGGTCATTGTTGCCTTGGCTTCTTTTTGACCTTTTTAATATTAGAAAATTAATTTTCCATCTGAAACAGATGTATTAGCTCCTGTCACAGCACCCAGATGAATTTTGCACCTTGAAATTCTCCCTTACGCCCTTCTTCTATGACTTCTACAGCCCGACACCACAGGCTCTCTCGTTGTCTTTCTTCTTTTTCTTTGTGCAACAGTGAGATCTGCCATATAAATGTGACGCTATGAACATCATGTATTTTTTTTGCGTGTATTTGTGTCTTTTTCTTTGCCTCCCTGTCTTCTCTCTCCTCTCTCTGTGTGTGATAAGATGTCAAAATCAGCCAACCATTTCTGATCCATTTCTGAGATTTACAGCCAATTTTTCCCCATCATCCCTACATCGTTTCAATCCCTCCATCATCCCGCTCTTTATACTCCCTCTTTTGGAAACTGAATCGTCTGCTTTTCATAGGAAGATACAGATAAAGCTCTCACTCTCTGGCAATTTTTACGCTTTTTTGTCAACTTATTAAATTCTTTTTTTACATACTTCAAATTCATTTATTCCAACAGGTCCCCTCTTGCTCTTTTTACCCTGGCGATTCATATCTCTTCTTTTTGTCTCTACCTACTGGCTTCCTGCTCCTCTTCTCCTTTTTCTCCTGGCAGGACATACCAACAGATGTGGCAGCTTATGTGGCACTAACAGGCCCGAAGCAGAGCGCTGCCTGTGCCCGTTCAGCCTGATTACAAGTCACCTCTGTGTTCATAAACAGACAAATACCGTCATCAATTTGAGAGCACAGTGCAGACTGAGAGGGAGGGGGGAGAAAAATCAGAGAGATGGAGACAGACGGAGGCAGAGTTTTGTGTCATTTACTCTCGTCCATGAAGCAGGTCATGCCATCTGCCATGTTCTGTCACGGCTACATCATTAGAAGGTCACTGACCATGTGCCCCCATGACCTGAATTGGCTGAAAGATTGGAAACACTTTTACAGTGTTTAAGTAATATGACACCTTTCCTTCCATCTCTTTCATGAAGTTAGGTTTGTCTCAGAGTGAATGTTTGCCCCTGATGTTTGTTCCACAAATCCACATGAGAGTGTATAGCAGACATAAAAACAGAAAGATAGTTTTGTTCTGTCATTAGCTGTTTTCAAACATGAACTCCGGAAAAATATTTTTGTTGACATGAAAAACGCAGCAAGAGATTTTCCAGGTCAGACGTTCTTAAAACAACAAGAACATTTCTGGAACATTCAGGTGAGGGCTGGCACCTGGGTAGAGCAGGAGGCAGGACATGAATAAATAAAATCTGCTAAGGAAAGAATGTGTTTTTGTTAGCATCGACAGCACCGTGGGCCCTTATTACCAAAAAGTTCTTTCCAAGTTGACATCTTCGTATAGCACCTGAGATATTTGTATTCTTCACTGTCACATCTGTTGCGTGTTAGAAATGTTATCAACAAGCACTTGCTTGCTGATGATTTTCTGGACATGTTTTCTCACATGGGATCACTCAGATTTTACTAGGGCGCTTGCGGGAAAAGTTCTGGAAAATGTTATCTAAACTCTTACCTCTCCAAGTTAGCAAACTAAGCAGTTAAAAAAATATCATGCAAGACATGAATAACAGTCTGATTTTCCTTTTTTACAAGTCTGCCTCCCAAGATGAACTACAGCAGCAGTTGTTTTAACAAGTGCTCTAAAATGACATAGGTTATTATCACATCAATTATTGCACATGAATTGTTAGGAGATATTGTAGAGCAGCAAACTCAATTTAGTCACAAGGTCAGGATGGAAATAGGACAAAAAAAGCTAGTCTAAGGCTAACCTCAGTCTCAGGCCAAGCTCAGCTGGATCTTTCACACGTCAAAGCCATGTCAGTCCACCCACAGATATTATAGGCCACATTTTAATATTGGATAATATGGATTACACACAAATTCAGCGTTTTTCTCCTGAACAAGCAGCTGCTTCCCTTCTCCTCCAAAGGTATGCTCCTGCTGATGCCAAGAGCTTTATTCAGGAGCTTGTAATCCTGCTTCAATCAGCGCCTTTTCCTTCCCGTGTAAAGATAAGCCCGGCATTTATGGCCCTCGCCGCACCCCCGCACCCTGCTCTAATTAATATGCAGAAGATAAGTACTTGTCTGACAAAATTCATTTGTTTGACCTTCTAGGTTTCCACTAAACTGTTTGCGGCCGCTGCAAGTTCACCACAAGTTGAGAGTTCCCTGGAGTTTCTGTGGCGAGATGGGGCTTTTGTTTCTGTGAGAGATGTTTAATTTGGACAGCTTGCTCTCTTTCCCTCTCTCTTTCTTTCTCTCTCTCTCTCTCAAATTGTCTTCTGACTTTCATTCAGCAGTCTCTGTTTCTTAATTGCCCCTAATTGCTTAATTACAATTTCAAATGAACAATTCTGGAGGTCAGAGCGGGTTGTTAATTGAAGCATCAATCACAGTGGTGGGGCCTTCAGAACCATCTCAGTTTGATTGACAGGGCATTAACAGAGTATTGTAGTAAGCCTGGACATGACATTGTGGGGGCTCCATGGCTGTTACTACTGTTAGCGCTGCTGCTGCTGCTGCTGCTGCTGCTGCTGCTGCCGTCCTTCATGTGAGGCTGTGAAGGAGAAACCGTCACAGGGACAAACTGTGCAGGATCTGTGTCCTCCCTCTTCAGTGGACTGGTTTTATACATAAACACATGGCCAAAGCTATGTGTTTAGCCATGTCTATATACTAATTGTATTTTCTTGTCTTAAAGTCTGTTTACGTGGTCTAGGCAAGGCACCCTAGTTCCATTTCGGGGAAAAAAGTCCATGATAATAATGGCCAATAATTCATGTGACTCTATAGCTACAATTCCTGTTTCAGCATGATAGTGCACCTTGATTCATGAGCAATTTTCAGACATGAAATGTCCGGACCCAGTTTTAACCAAAATGTCTGAACGTTGTGCAGAGTTTGCCATATGAAGGATGCAGGAGACTGTCCAGATCAGATGCATTCACAACAGCAGGATCATTTAAGAAGTATTGAGGCGACAGGTGGTGTTTGGGTAAAGCATGCAGGAGGCAGGACATGACATATGAATTCCACTATGTGTTTATGTTTACAGCACATTGACAGTGATGTCATTGTTGGCGTCCTATATGTGTATGGCTCGCCTTTTTAATGCTGAGTCAGAAAATATTATCAGTGTCGTGGTTTCCCTTTGACCTGGGTAATGTTTGATGATTGACACTTTTGTGATTCCCATGATGTTTGGTATTTTGCTTAAAAAACTGCAAATTGTTGCAGATCATTTTTTTGTTGATCAACCAATTTTTTTGCTCTTTATGTTTTTGTTTGAATTTATCATTTGATGTGAAATGTAGCTACATCCAATTTTTGTAGCCTTTTGTTATTTCATAATTTACTGCACCATTCATTACTTTAATGTCTGAAACACCATATAATTATCCAGCTATATTTTGGGGTTTAATGTGGAAGGACAAAGTTGACCTGCACTGAGAGCTTTGTCAGAATATAGCAGCATATTAAAACCAATGGTTTTAAACTGAGATGTTCAAACATCATGCATTGTGTCATATTTTACACACATTTGGAGTTATTAGTTTAAAACACGGTTAATAAAGTAAGATGTGAATTCAATTCAGAGATCTGTCACCTGAGTTACTCACTTGGATTCCATGTAAGCATGAAACAGCTGGTTAACCTCTGTTACACTCACTCTGCCACTTTTGATCGCCCACTTGTCCACCTTCCTGCAATTCAACCACCTCTGTCCCCACCACCCCCTTTTTGCCCCCCCTGGTCCTCTGCCTAATGGAACTGGGTTACCTCTCTTACTTCCTCCTTGTCTTTCTATACTGCCCCAACTTCCTCCCTCTTCTCTCCCCCTTTGTTTTCATCTGTTACCTAACTCTCACTTTATGTCTTTATCTCTTTCTCTCTGTACCTCTCATCACCACCCACCTCTGTTTGCTGCATTTAGATTTTTTCCCCCTCTTCTTCCTCTTGCTCTTTTTTCCTGTTTTGTTTTTCTGTTGTTTCTCCCTCCCCCCACCCCCCACCTTCTCCTGCTGCTGTTCCTCTCCTCTGGGGCTCCATCCATCAGGTTGTCGGGGGCTGCTAGCGGCCGACTCCCAGCCACCATATTTCACCACCAGCCAGCCAAGCAGCTGACAGCACAGCCACCGCCAGGAAATTGCTTTGGCTGTGAGCGGAATTTCAAACACAGGCACACTGCGTCGTCCGGGCCGCCCAAGCACCGCTTCCCTCTCTCTCTCATTCTCTCTCTTTTTCTTTCTCTCTATCCTGTCAATCTCTCTGCACCTCTCTACACACATCTATGTCTCTCTCTATATCTCTCTCTCTTTGTCTCTTCTTCTTTTTCTCTCTCTGTTTGTTATTATGTACTTATTTCCTCCCTGTCTCTCTCTTTGCACCCCCATCACCCCCATCTTTATATGTTTTTTTCTGTTTGCTCTTCCCTGCCCCTCTGTCTTCTGCTACACACACACACACACGCACACACACACACACACACACACACACACACACACACACACACCTTATGCATTGCTGTCTCTCTTTGTCTTTTGTCCGGCTTCCCTCTACTCTTTCTCTTGTCTCCCTCCCTCCCTCCCTCCCTCCTTCCCCGTCTTCTTCCACTATCTCTCCATTTCTACCCACTCATTCTTTCCTTCCTCCCCCCTCTTTACGATCCACAGGGAACAAGGTGTGGTGCTGAATGTGGAATGAGCGGAAAGAGAGAGAGAGGGAGGGGGGGAAGGAGGGAATGAGATAAAGAGGAGAAAGAAGAGCGAGTGGATGAAACCAGGAGGAAAACAGAGTGATGAGATGTAGAAAGGAGGCTGAGAGGACAAATATTGTAATGCGTCTTTTATTCTAATATGTATAATGGTAATAAATATAAGATTTAATGATTAAATCAAGTCAACTAGTCAAGATACTTCTAATTTGCATTTATTTTGAATGTAAATCAATTATTTTGTTTACAAGTGATAAATTAATATTTAATTAATCCAAATAATGTGAGATGTTGAATCTTTCAAAAATGAATATTAGAAAATCTTAGTGTCCCCTTTGCTTTAATGGCAGCATGCACTTGACTTGGCATGGACTCCATGAGTTTGTGCTGAACTGAACCTTGATATCCCAGGATAATTTGACTCTGTTCCAAAGAGCTTCTTGTCATGTCACTGAATGCGTGACTTTCTCAGTCTTTAAGAGGCCACATACATGTTTAATGGGGTTGAGCTCAGGTGACTGTGGAGGAAAGTCCATAACAGTCCTCTGTCTTCTTTAGTCTTTTTGTAATTCTTGTGGAGCTTGGAAGTGTGTTTGGGGTTGGTTTGAATTGTTCTACACAAAGATACAAACCAGAGGGTACAGCATGTCTCTGAAGAATGGGGTGGTACTTCCTATTCCTCAGGGTGTCGTCAATTTAGCACAGGCATCCAACTCCCATTTACACCTTGGAATCATCAGTAAACGAGACGTTTTACTGGGAGTGATCCACTGAGAAATGCTGGTGTTTCTCTGTCCTCCCTGAGTGTGGCCTTGTTTCCCCTCGTGAGAAGTGGTTTAGAAACTGCCACTTGTCCTCTGAGACCACATGTGACAACCTTCTTTTGACAGTTCTCTTTCTGATTGCAGTCTTGTGTTTTTTATTTAGAAGATTGTGTATAAAAAAGCTGTTTTTCTATGT